AATAAGAATTGTAATATAAAGGGATTATTTGTTATAATAATAATATTATTATTGAAGGATATAATTACTGTTATAATAATTAACCCTTTGATTCTGATTTTTTGAAAGGCTTTATTTATTTTATTTCGAATAATTAGAAAGGAAAAGGAGATAGGATTTGGAAAATCTGGTTTGATTAAGATAATTTGTTTTTGGATAAGGTTAGATTTCTTTTCTATATTAATAGATATAATGTTTTTCTCTTTGGGGATTAAATTCCATTCTTCTTTTTTTGAAATATCAGTATATATTGGTTTCAATATAGTGGTAGTAGTAGTAGTGAACGAAAGAGGTTTAGCTAATACTTTTGCTTGTGATTCGATTTTGTATGTAACAATTTTCAAATGGGTGATTTGAGAGGTGATGATATTCGAAATTGTAGTAAGCTTCCCCTTTTCAGTATATTCTCTAAAATCTCTAGAAGATCTAAAAGCTTGGATTATTCTTTATATAATTAGGAGAAAAAGAAAACTAGCATTATAAGATCTCTAGCTTTCAAAATAGCTTCCTTGAATATATTTGGGTTGTTTTGTATTCTAGATTGTTTGTTTTGATTGCTAAGGGGTATTATAGAGCCTTGTTTTTATTCTAATTGAATATATAGATAGTATTGGTTGTATTTTGAATAATAAAGGGGTTACTAAGTAGATTGAACTCTTCAAATCTTTTTCCAGTATTAGCTGGCTGATTAGTTGATAGAATAAGACTAGAGATTTCGAATTAAGGGTTTTCAGAAGGCGAAGGAGGGTTTGAAGGTATTAAGGTATTTAGGATAATAATAGGATAAGTGATTGATATAATAAAGGCTTCAAAAGGAATCTTCATTATAATCATATCCCTAAGTATTGATGGATTGTTAAGAAAGCTCATATTGAAAATCTTATTCTTATTCTGATAATTCAAAGTGAGAAAATTTTACGCGAATTTTCGTATATGTTTTGTATTCAAAGTGTTGATAATAATAATATAACAACTATTAATTAGAATCACTAAAGAGCAATTATAATCAATTTGGTTTAATAATTATAATCTAAATCGATCACGAACAGATTGTATTTCAAAGAAAAAGTTTCCTTCGAAATTTGTTGTGTAATAATCAGGTAATAGGGAATGGGCTATAGTGATTATATATAATAATAAGAAAAGCGAAATTATATCTCCATTTCTAATAATTCAAGGATAGGTTTATCTTTCCAATTGGTATATCGAAATCGATTTCTCTATAGATTAGATTATTAAACTTATATCTAATAAATAAACAAATAATAAAACAGATTTAGAATAACTAAAACATTTCGATAAATATATTAAGAATCGAAAAAAGGGTAAATATCGAATGTTAGTATTAGATAGGTATAAAAACTACAAATCAAGAGCTTTTCAAGTATATTACAAAGAGAATGATATTATATGCTTAGGTTTATTATTATATTTAAGTTATTTAATTTAACCATTTAATATAAATTATTTTAGCAATCTGAAATGTTTATATAGTAATCAAATTAATAAATTTATTAAAATATATATCAATTATATTTCGAAAGTTGAATTCTTTATAGCTTTCAAAACTACATACCAAGAATTAATTACAATTCAGAATATAAAATCAGAATTCCAAAAAGCAGATTTAATATCTTTTGATTTTAAAATTGTACTTTCGAAATTAGATATTTAAATTCATATATTTACTCCCTTCTTTTTCGATTTAAATTAATAAATTTCTCAAATCTTTTGTAATCTAATAAAAACTCTTTTTTAATCAATATTAATTAAATTTCAAATAATTTATTATTAAGCAAGTTTTTCTATAACATGTTTTATCAGTGAGTGGGTCATATCAGTGAATAGGTTACTTTCACCTCAATTCATTCTCTCCTCTTTCAACACACATTTTATCAACAACCCATAATGAATCCGAATAATCAAGAAGCCTATATACTTCTTACTATTAAAGCTATTCAAAAAAACAAAAAAATAAGTATTCGAAAAGCTGCGAAAATGTATAATATCCTGAATACAATATTACAGTATAAAATCAATAGTTCTATTCCTTGTTCCGAATATCGATCTAAATCTAATAATTTTTTAGAACTAGAGGAGAATATCATTTCTGAATATATAATTGATATAAATATAAAAGGATTTTCACCTAAATTAAGAAATATAAAAAATATAGCGGATTATATTCTCGAATTGAGAAATGCAAATCGTATTGAGAAGCTTTAGGTATATTGATTTGTAAAACATCAAATCAAATTAAAGATATATTTTAGTTGTATTTATGACTTTCAAAAAGCTCTCTACAAAGATTCCAAGTTTATTGAAGATTGGTTTCGATTGGTTGTGAATATGTAAGCGAAATTCGGTATTTTGAATAGCGATTTCTATAACTTCGATGAAACAGGCTTTATGATGGGTATAATATATTCTGGAATGGTGGTAATTAGTGCTGAACGAAATGGTAGAAGTAAGGCAATACAATCAGGCAATAGAGAATGGGCTACAGCAATCATATGTAGTAATGGGGAGGGTGAAACTATACCCCCATTTCTAATGGTTCAAGGACAGGTTTATCTTTCCAATTGGTATACCGAAACCGATTTTCCTATGGATTGGACTATTAAACCTATATCTAATGGATGGATAAATAATGAGATGGATTTAGAATGATTAAAAACACTTTGATAAGTATACTAAGAATCAAAGAAAGGGTAAATATCGAATGTTGATGCTAGATGGGCATGAAAGCCACGAATCAAAAGCTTTTCAAGCATACTGTGAAGAGAATGATATTATATATTTATATTTATCATCACATTCAAGTCATCTAACTCAACTATTTGATGTAGATTGTTTTGATAATCTGAAACGTTCATATAGTAGTTAAATTAATGGATTTATCAAGGCATATATCAATTATATTTCGAAGGTTGAATTCTTTATAGCTTTTAAAGCTGTATATAAAGAATTGATCACCTCTCAGAATATGAAATCAGGGTTTTAAGGAACAGGTTTAATCCTATTTAATCCTAAAGCTATACTCTCGAAATTAGATATTCGAATTCATATACCTACTTCCCCTTCTTTCAATCCGAATTAATGAATCTCTCAAACCCCTCACAATCTAATTAAAACTCTTTCTCAATCAATATTAATCAAATCTCGAATAACTCATTATCATTCAAACTCCCCTACATCTATATTTGAAACTATACTAACTCTAGCTAAAGGTATAAAGAGATTAGCTTATAAGAATATACTTTTAAGTACAAAGATCCATACACTTCGGGCAGCAAATAAAACATTAAGCAAATATCAATACACAAAAAAAACCCAATTATATTAAGGAAAAATATTTACTAAACAAAAGGCTCTTGATATATTATCTCAATAAAAGATTGATATTCAGATTCAATACAATGAATATCAAAAAGAGAGGAATCCTAATAGAGAAGTATCTTTTAATCGATATTGTAGTAAATATAGAAAGACAGATCATAATACAAGAACCTATCAAAATGATATAATAAATCCTAGATTATTAGAATCTTTATAGTTTCAATTAATTGATATTGTTATTGTTGAATAATATGGTTTTGAATAAGTGAATTGAGATAAAAGTGACCCACTCACTGATATGACCCACTCACTGATAAAACACGTTATCTATATTTAAGATTATATTAACTCTAACTAAAAATATAAAGAAATTAGTTCATAAGAATATACTTTTGAATACTAAGATTTATATATTTCGAAAACAAATAAAGTATTAAGTAAATATTAATATATAAAAAAAACTCAAATATATTAAGAAAGAGTATTTATTGAATAAAAAACTCTTAATATATTATCTTAATAAAAAATTGATATTCAGATTCAATATAATGAATATCAAAAAGGAAGGAATTCTAATAGGAAAGCATTTTCCAGTTGATATTGTAGTAAGTGTGGAAAAACAGAATATAATATAAGAACTTATTAGAATAATACAATAGATTTTAGATTATTAGAATCTTTATAGTTTTAATCGATTGATTTAATTGTTATTGAATAATATAGCTTTGGAATAACAATTCGAGATAAAAATGACTGATCCACTAATATGACTAATCCACTGTTAAACCACGTTATATAATTAATTCAATTATTAACATTAAATTACAAAAACTTTTTAATTAATAACATAAATCATTTTTGATATATAAAAATTTCTAATCTATTTTTAAATATTTTTGTTGAAAAGTTATATAAGCTTTTAGTTGAAAAAGTTCAGAATTTTTAACTTGTAACGCTTTTCCCATACAAAATAAGCGAATTTTTCGAAATTTTTCGAATTTTCAACTTTAATCCTTCAAAAATACTATTATAAAAATATTTAAAAATAAACAATTTATTTTTTTTGGATAATTTAAGTAGTTATTAATCTTTCTATAATACTATATTCGATTTTGTCTCATATAATTATAAATAAATTAGGGTATAAAAAGCTGAATAATTGTATATTTTAGCTGGAAAAGCGCTACATGTGCGGTGAGTAGGTTCCAGAACTCTTACATGGGAGGAGGGATGCAGAATGTGGCAAATGTTTCCCACACTGTAAGTCTCAGATATTGAGTTATCCAGCCCCAACACTGGTACAGGTGGTTGCTCGTGAGACAAACTGTTATCTTTGACGCTATAACAACAACAATGCCGCAACGATGGTAGGAGCAGTTTGAGCGTTGGGGATGATTGAAGATGGCGATGTTTGATGGCTTCCCTAGAGTCTCAGATCAGCAGAGCTAATTTATCTCACAATGTTTTATTCATTCCAAGGTGGAGTCAATGAAGTCCGAAGAAGCCCCTGATAAGATCAAAAGTCAATTTTCACATTTCACAGCTTGCAAGATTATGCCTGTTAAATGGATCCTTACTTTTCTATAATAGCATAAATGATTCTAGACACAGCGCATTACATCCGAAGAAACACAGTTGGTTGATTAAGATGATTCACATATTAATTATGTACTAAATAAGGAAAAGACACCATCGACTCGATAAATTATCAGCATTCATTCATTCATTGACCACCGGATCACAATCCTAAAGCAGTCTGCATATTTCTAAGGAATTGGATTGTAATTAAGCCAAGTTGGCGACAGCAGCGGCAACGAGGATGCTGACACCACTGATGAGGAAACCGCTGGCTGAATTGATTTGCTGGATCGCACCACTGGTAGAGGTAGCCTTCATAGAAATTAGCAATCCCTCAATCTATTAACAAAACAAAAGAACACATACCGAAGCAGAAGATCCAGTGGCAGTGCTGCTGGAAGCTGATCCGGAGCTAGCAGTCGACTCAGAGCTAAAAGCTGCGGCAGTTGTTGTTGCAGAGTTGCTGGAAACAGTTGCAGTAGCGCCGCTGGCGGTTGTAGTGACGTTTTGGGCGAGCATGGCGCTGGCAACGTCGGCTTGAGTTCCGGTCAATGGCACAGTGGAAGATCCACACTCCACAGCAGCAACAGTCAAATATGGACCATAGCATTGCCAGATGTCCTCGTTATTCTCGCCAGAGCATTGGAGACAGGCAGCGTAGTCAGTGGAGAAGATTGTGGTGTTGCAGAAGCCATCGATTTCAGATTCGAGGATGGCCTCACCTATGAAGGATGTTAGTATCGATCTTGAGAAGTTTATTTGGCTGTGTGTATGAAGAGGAGACCTGATGGGAAAGCAAACATACCGCAATTGTCATGGCAGTTGTAGGAATTGGTACCGACGGCGTTATCCTCATCTTGACGCTTGACGATCAAAGCTTCTGGTAAAGTAGCAAGGACTGTTGGAGCGAGAAGTCCGGCAAGAGTCGCGACCTTGATAATTGACGTGATGAAAATCAAGATGCTGATTGAGGTGATGATTTGTCTTGAGTTGACGACTTGGGTGGTATGATTGAGCTGTCTAAGATAATGAATAGATGCATACTTGATCGGCGACGTGCCTTCATATATAAGAAAGAAATGAAGGGCCAAAGTTTACGGTCCCGAAGATTGAGACACGGTCTACTTGAATCTCCACTTTGACTCACGACATTGGAAATGCCAAGGAGATTCGGCGACATTCCGAAAAAATTCCAATATGGGTCGATGAGGTCGATGGACTATTGAAATACAAGCAAGATACTTTGTGCCGCGTCCCTGCATGTGGACGTGGTCCGATGATTCAAAAAACGTCGCACTTGACCTAACGTTCGTGAGAGAAAAGAGCGAGACGGGGAACTCTAGTCTAGGCTATTCCTATGGACGGAGATCGATTAGATTAGATAAGATCGAATCAGATTAGATGAGGTGGAGAAATTTTCTGGGGTGGCTTCAGAGTACCACAAAAGATTGAGACTGACTTCAAGTTAGATGCCCCGTTTATGCCAATAATTGTCTGACCGGAGAGTTCTTTGGAAAGAAGCCAAATACGTAGTGGACGGGAAAATTCTTGATCCAAGTGAAATGATTCCTGTTGGTCCCAAGAACAAATCAAAAATGTTAGCTTGACGCCGATACCATTTTGCGCTGCCATAACATCAGATTTTCATCTGATAAGTTTGCACAAATTTATTGGCTGATATCTACTCCACCCTCTCCATTTTCCAGTACCTCGTAGTCACATCTGATTAGATTGAAATTTCGGATCAGATAAGATGTAAAATTTCGCGAAAAAGTGGGATGTGCATGAATATTTTACCAAATCACATATCAGAGTGGAGAAGAAGACCAGCCTACTCTGCTATGTCAACCCTGCTGCCACATTCCAATAGCTTCTTTTACTTGTAGAGCTTATTTTCCAAGTCTGATATGGCCTGTCAAATCGTGTGAATATACCCGACTCCGACCGGTCTACTTGGCAGCGTTGTATGCTTGTGACTCTGTTTTGTGCTATGGTTCAAACGCACACTTTCACATGCGTAATTTCGCATGGAATCGAGGCCAAGAGCTTTCATGATTGGTACCTTGCTACGTTTCGTAATGGATAGAAATCATTACTCAGAGCAAGGTGATTGAATGTTTCATTCTTGATTTTCAAGCTCTATAACTTTCGGGTTCGGACCCGCAATAGTTTTTGGTTTGGACGCGTGCATATATGACCTAGTTCTCTCTTGTCTTGATAATTGTCGACCGCTATCCTTCAACCGAAAGAATCTAAGACAGTTTGTTTCAAGATGCTCTTCAAATATCTTCCTGTTTTGGCTTCATGTCTCATTCTCAACCTCGATCGTGTATCCGGGGAAGCAGAAACGGCGAACGGTCCAGTTGAGTTCGTGTGGCCAGAGCAACGTACTTGGTATGCTGCTTGGCAAAATAACAGGCCCTGTGGAAGAAATGATGGAACGGTTGGGAACCGCACGGATTTTCCTTTAGGTACGATCCTCTTGAAAATTGTAACATAGTCATGGCTAATATACTTCAAACATACAGACTCAGGGAAAGTTGCACTTGTGGTATCTGGAGAAACCTGGGATGTCGTTGTTCGTATAGCATATATGGACAGTAAGACATAGCTGACGCATCTTTTCTTACCAAGACTAAATGTATCTCAGAGCCAACCACTCAATCGGATTTTACTACCCAGATTTTACATACAGTCTCCGAACTTGATGCCGGACATCAGTGTTACACTATACCAGACTCTCCATCCGATATTGAAGCTGGTACAAACGCGACAATCCAGCTTGAATATACCTCAACATACGATGGGAGTGGGAACGAAACATTTTATGCTTGTGCAGATATTGTAAGAACCCCGATTGCAAAAAACTGAACACATCGCTACAGGAGACTGATCAGGTTATACATTTAGACTTTCATAAAAGAGAGTGATTTTACTACAAGCGTCTCCTGTTTCAACGCTACTGTCACTGGTCCCTCTACTGAGGGCATTGCGAGCTTTGTCGCAACATCAGCTGCAACTTCTACAGCGACAGCTTCATCGTCTACCACCTCAGACTCGTCATCGTCGGGTTCTATTGGGCTGTCTAAATCAGCTGTTGCTGGTGTTGCAGTCGGTTGTATTGCGGGTGGTCTAGCTTTGGTTGGACTTGCAGTATTCTTGTTGATAAAGAAATACTCGTATAAGCCTCGATTCAGAGGAAGAGAACGTGTCGAAAGCGTTAGATTGAGTACGATTGATGATAAGATCACACTGTAGAAGAGCCCGGTATCTCCTAAGGTGCCAGCTACTGTTATATGGATATATATATAGTAGTAAGCTATCAGGAAACAATCCCTGATACTGTGCCTTTTGGACAGATTGCGTGTGTGGCGTAGTGGTAAAGCTTACAACTCCTATTGTGTCCGCTTACGTAACAGCTACAGCCGGGTTCGCTTATAATTCCTTATCAGCCAATCAAAATATTGTGATCTGAGAGTTCTTGAAATTATAAATTGTATTTATTTTTGTAATAAAATATAACAATGTTTAAAAACTCCACCAAATTTATTCTTAAAATAAAATAAATAAATTTATAATTAAACTTCTAATTATTATTACATTAATAAATTTTAATCTTAAATTTCAATTATATAGTTTTTATATTTGATATAATTTGTAAAGCTGTTGATATTCTTACTTATGCACAGGCCACATTTCCCGGCCGTAGTTAGCACCTTAGGGGATAGAAGCTGGGCGGGGGATATAAAATTCCATTTAGGGGACATAGATATGTATTGGTTGGAGATGATTACCGTGCTTTTGATTGGGGAAGCATTCATAATGGATAAATGGGCAGGAATGGTAGATGTCATAATGAAAGTTAGAAAGAATATGTGATCGTGAGGAATGAATGATGATAATACAAATATTAAGATACCAGATGGATAAGTGCAGTACGTCGATGTATTAGGTATCGCTCTATGACTTAGATAGAAATCGAAAGTAATACAGATTTAGACATGCATCTTTGATCGATCCACTTGATTATTGCAACCAAAATTGCAAGACCTCCCCTTATGAATTGTCAAAATCTGCCAAATAATTGCCAAAATACAAGAAGGATATTTGGCATCGTTTAATGTGTTTAAGAATAATGTCTCATCTCTCCACTCCCATTGCCTTTGCAGTAGCACGGTCGCGAAAATTTCAGCTTGTGTGAAGTCGATATGCTTCGATTTCGAAAGGCTTCTGGCCAGCAAGCGGGGATCTAAGTTTGTGCTTTTCAAGTGTCCAGTCAACCGAAGTTAGGCTTGAAAGTGAACGTGATATTGCCAGTAGATGTATATTGGGTATTCCTGTTAACGATCCTTCATTGAAAGTAGTGAACTCACGCCTGGCAAATGAAGATGCATCCTAGGCGCTCTTCAGTAATGTCGCTTGTGCTCTCCGATTTTGGACTTAAGAAGAATGTGAAAAGAATCCACAATACGATTCTGCATAGAGAGGACAAGTACGCCAGATGGGACGAAAACGCTGCCGTCCAACGAACACTACAAAATTTAAATCACGATCGGTTACACGTATTACCCACCCACGACTTTGGTATCTAGTTTATTCCAAAGCATAATTCGAAATCTTGGCTTGATCATGAGGTTTCTCGTGACCGTTGAAATGCAATGCGGCAGCTTAATAATTTGGCATCTACAGAAGTAGACTTCATCCGGTACAATAGTGACATTTGGCCAGCTTCTAGCGTTTGTACCGAGTTGAATTGGAAAAATATGTAGTATCTGTTTTGCAGGGTTTTTCCATCTTGTAGAGATGTCGAATAACCTTTCGAACGCGATGAGTATGTTCTTTCTAGGAAATTTGCATATCCAGCACATAGGAGTCGGATACTGGCTACTTAGTCTGATAACTTAACGGGAGATGCCACAATCAGAAGATCGAATCAAGATTGCTCTCTGACAAGAAGAGCAATGTCCATCCCGTCTCTACGTAAAGGTGGAGTACCAAAAACACGCATGAAGGGCAAAACGAAACGTGCACCACTGGAATGGGTTCGTCTAATATTAAAGATGGAGCTTGAAACAGTAGAGCAGAATTTGAATTACATAATTCATCCAGAGAGTGTGTTTGAAAGTATTCTGATGTTATGTCTCCTATCACGGATAGTATACATAACCATTGCCATGATCGTCATTTGTGAAACGCACCCAAGAACTTCATAACCCTTTCATATAATAACCTGACATCTCTAATCTTAATACCAGTTGTCCAACTGTGTTTTCTTCTGCCAGATCCGCAGCGTCAAACAAGCCTCCGCTTCCTGCTTGGGCATTGAAAGTCTTCTCGCCGTACCCCTTCTTTTCGGTCAATCCCCTACAAACAGTGACAAATACTCCTACTCTCTTTTTGAATTTTCCATACATCATTTGGATATTCTCATCTTCGCCTACATCACCCGAATTTGCCTTTGCTCCCGAAGCCTTCTCTCTTGAGTGCTTCGAGAACCGTAGGATCAGGCCGAATATTTCTTCTAGTAGTTGCATGACTGGTTTCTGTCTCTTCCTTAAGAATAATGCAAATAGCATCTTATCGAGCACACGTTCATGATACTCTCTGAGACTCTCCAGCCCCTCGTTTTGACCGAGCGAAAAATCCTCAGAGTCCATGCGTTCTTCAATCTCATCTAATTTCCTCTGGAAAACACCCCATGTTGTTGCGATTCCAGTGTCGAAAAAATATCCACAGACCGCAGAAACGAAATGATGAGCCTCGATACGAAACTTCTGAGCAGAGGGATGTATATTTTGCCACGAGGATGTCCTATCCGTGCCATCACGGAAAAGTGCTGACACAACATATAGCATTCTGAGAGTACGAAGGAGTTGTTTGAAAAGCTGATCATACTTGTAGAGGATAATGGGAGTTAGAATCGATTCCAACGGCGCAGGAGGTTTGTATGAAAGCCGTAGGAAATCTAGGGCTTCGATTGAATTGGGGTCCATACACCGCTTGATTTCTTCTTCGGACATATCTCGAACAGCAAAACTCAGATCTCCTGGCAGAGATTTTTGTCTTTGAAGATAGCTATCAATGGAAGAGAGATTCGCAGGTTGATATGATGCATAACTTTCGGTTAGCACGCCCATCAAGGCAAGTCGTAATTCAGAGCTCGCTGGTGGCCATGTATCTCTACCGCCGAGTCGTAAGCCCATGGTTCCACCAGATAAAGCCACTCCCTTTTGTCTCTCGGCACTTTCTAATTCCGGGTCAAATAGTGCATGAGAGAGTCGACTTGAGAAAACACCGTTTCCCAACAGATGAAAGTCTCTTTGAAGTGATAGATGATCTCGTAACTTATGAGACTTGAAGAATAGTTGCATGCAAACACCATTGACCACTCTAGCTTGCGCAGAAATGATTGGATTGAATGAGAGTATAGGGGCCAGCGAAATGGGCGGGGAAAATATTGATTTATCCACTCGCGAAGACTCCGGAGCCGATGAAAGACAATCCTGCAAAAGACGTTTAAACTTAACAGGAGTTAGTGGCTCCTTTAATTTTGAGTCCAATCGATTGATGGAAGCTACAACACGATTTTGAATCTCTTCTTCGGGTCGGCCGAAGAAATCCATATCAAAATTGTAAAGCTCAAACCTGGACTCGGTCGCTGTGGGTTCCTCCGTCGTTGAATGATCTCCCGAGAACTTTTGGAGCGCGGCTGCCAAATCCTGTTCGTATCTCAAGGCTTTAGTCTCTACATCCAGTATATCCTGCCAAGAATACCTCCATTCAAGAACTGGTGGTGCAACTGACTCCACAACCTCCATTTTCGACAAAGGATGGTCTATATGGTGAGTACGTAAAATTCGAAGGCTCCTACCCACTTCAAACATTATTCTGGCATCTTCAAGTGGCATGAACGAAGGAACATTTTCAAGGTCCAATATAAAGTCAGGTTCATTCAATTCGAGACCAGCTTCATCCACCCATTCTTTGTTGTCGACCCTCACAAAGCTCTTCCCAGAACCATCCTTGGTCAGCGGTACGCCATCTTCTCTTTGTAACCCAAGCCATTCACCTGTAAATTTAAGCCAAGGTATTGATACCCTCGAGAGCATTTCAAGAAGAATGTCTCGGAGAGAGTCTGTCCTATGTTCTAGAAGTTGGATCTCTTCAAAAAGCGTTGACAGTATTGCTTCATCACTTTTCTTTGGCAATGCATTCGTCACCAATCGTTTGAAACATGTAAGAACTGAGTGAATTGGCTGAAACAATGCTTGCAGCTGTAAGATGCTCTCATAATCAGAAGCGCTTACATTCAGCTGTGACTGGATTGTTGCAAGAACAGTTGAAATGGACTCCGCCATAGCAATTCGACCTGGTGACTTGTTTGATGAATAGGTCTTTTCGACAAAGTCTTGAAGAAATCTGGTAATATTTCCGCACTCATAAAAAGGAGCCAAAAAGCCGGTCAGAGATTGTGCAGTGTGACCAGAGACTCGGAAATTCTGAAGGGTCGCATAAAATGATCGCTTCTCTACGTCCCACACGAAGAAGGTCGAATTTCTACCTAGTCCCAGTGCGAGGACCGAGGTGGCAAAGATCTTCGAATCCACTACACGATGAACAGTATTTCCAGCATTCAAAAAATCGTCTTCGGCAGCTAATGCGGTATCAAGTACTCGAGCTCCAGCTTCGGTCAAATAAGCCGTTTGAGGTTCATTAAATTGGTCGTTAGTAAAGGAATCCCAGGTTTGATAGTTCACAGGCTCCTGTAAAGGCTCTCGCTCCTGTACCATCCAAATATCGAAGTCTTCAACTTCCTCGGGCCCTACCCGTTCGTTGCAAGATGTGTCGCCAAGAGGTTCATCAGATTGAGATGGAGGAACAATTGGCTCTGCTGGGCCTATGGGTAGTTCCGGTATACCAAAGAACAATTCATCATGTTGACATTGCTCTGCAACGTCTGGTAGTTTAAAGTCAATGACTGTAAATAATTAGCACAGTATATTTGTTTACTTCACGCAAATAATTGGAACGAACCAGGGAGTCTAAGATCTGAGAAAAGACTATTTGGTTGTACTACATCATCAACACATCTAGATAGACCCCAAAGGTCTGGAATTGCAAACACATCCCCTGGATCCTTTTCGTCATCCATTTTCATCATCTCAACTGAGATATGAATGTACTGTGCTCGCAGGCGGGGGTTGTGGATGTTTGACGCGCTCCAACGCGTCTGCGGGTTTTGCGGACGTTAAAACCCGCTAGCGTATTTATTGCAAAAGGCTGATGGTGAGGCTGAACTTAGTTGCAATTTGATGTCATCCTTCAATTCATCATTTGGCAATAAAGATAATACCGCCAAAATGCCACCGAAAAAGAAGAAAGGAAGCACACGAGCTGCTTCGACGCCCGTTGAAGATCAAGATGTCATGGCAATTGATACTCCCCAAAAGGCCGAACCACTAAAACCAAGCTACAATATCTTGAAAGACCCATGGACGGATGAACAAGAAACCTCATTGTTCAAAGGTATTGTCAAGTGGAAACCAGCGGGTAGGTCGATAATCGTTCTTCAATGTATGGTTTAGCAGATCGGATGGACTAATCATTGAACTCAGGTATGCACAAACACTTTCGCATGATTGCACTTTCAGAACATCTACGGAATCACGGTTATGATCCTCGTGTTGAACGGCATACTCGGATCCCTGGCATATGGGAGAAGTTACGAACCTGTTACAATTTGGATGTAATCGATGATCGCGAAAATTCATTCGATTACGAAGAGGATACCGAAGATCGGTTTCCCGAGTTTACATTGCCCGACGAGGAATATGGAGAGATGTGTTTCATGCGAGGGAAACGAACGAATGAAGAATTAAGCGAAGCACCTTCATCACCTTCAAGATTGATGGAAACTTCGGAGCCAAAGGAGTCACCAGAGCCCGAGGTTCATGGAACCACCAGAAAAAGGAAGAGGGGAAAAGAGAGAGCAAGTACTGTCGATACAACGGAGACGAGAACGTCACCACCTGCACAAAGTTCGCCACCAAAATCTACCAGAGCGGGAAGGAGTGCCAATAGAGCTGCGGGAAAGGCAAAAGCAGAATCGAGTTCGAGGCAGCAAAGTGTTGCAACCGTTACAACCGTGGAAGATGGAGCCGAGGACGACGAAGAAATCGATGAAGGCCTCGAGGGAACACCGACGAGACCTAGAGGAGCGGATACGAAGAGATCTAGGGCACAGTCTTCCAATAGGAAAAGCAAAAGGAAGAGATAATGTATGCGTAATTGTGTATATCTGTATTGTACCAAGACATGATTATGAGGAGCGAGGCGTTCTTTGGTGGTTGCTTATATCTGTACATAGTGGTTCTTGTATCATATGGCGTATGGCTTCATAGCATGAGATAGAGATCGAACTGGATGTTTTAGTAGCACTTTTACCAGAAACATGACTGGTATGAAGAAGTACCTACTAGGTACCCTGTTAAAAGTGGCTGGTTTTGTACTGTAGAACAAAAAGCGGAAACATCTTAAAAAGCCTCGAGAGAGCTTCTGCTCGGTTTAAAGGAGATGTGATTACGAGGCGAAGTATATATGAGCCGTTTCTATAGGTTTATCAAATTCTCAAAACCCCATATCACGATCACAACTAGGTCTATTACACAGCCACAAATTTCATTGGTTTTTGTCTGCCCAATGTTGAGCCACCTTCGAAAGCCACCCGACTCCCGAGGTCACCAATAGAACTTCACCAATTTCTAAAAACCTTAAAACCCCGGCATAAATTCGCCGCCAAGAGTTGCCGAAGCTCCAAAGCTTAAGATTCCTAAACGTCACGATTTATCTCAAGATAACGACTCTTGACAGTTTAATACACCCATTGAAGTTGCCCAATATGCGTCGCACATTACGGCAATTTGCAGCTGTTAAGCCTGCCAGATATCTCGAGGCCAACACACCTACTGGTCTCACTGGCCTCCATACTCATCCTTCGCCCCGCTCCGCTCTACTCTACCTCTACGCCTCTACCCTCGACAAATTGAAAGAATTCCCCTCCACATCTCTGTACCGCCAATCCACCGAGGCCCTTACAAACCACCGTCTAAAAATCGTACAATCTGTTGTGCCAGCTGGATACGATGAATGGGCAGCGAAGGCGAAAGAAACTCTTGCTGCGCATCCAGAAGTTTTCACTACCCCAGAGGGTGGCATACACTTTGATCAAGGGAAAAATAAGAAACTGAATGCCGGAGGCAAGGTCTTCGTACAGTCGGAAATTGAAAAGGAGGTTGATTGGAGTAAGGAGGAGTGGGACGGAGAGGAAGGGAGTGCAGAGTTGGAGGGTGTGAGGACGACACAGGAAAGAAAGGGACAAAGTGTTTTGGCTAAAGAGAGACCTGGTGAGGATGAAAAACAGGTCGTCTGGGAGAATGAGCCTGCGTTGAATGTCGATCAGTGAGTTTGATTTTTCTGCTTAAGATGAGATGTGGACGTACTGACATGCGCTGTTAGAATCGAGGAAATCGAGAATAAGATTGGCGCTGGATTGATCGAGGAGGTCATTCAGGTCGCCGAGGGCGAATTAACCCTCACTAATGTCTTATTGAAGGCCAAAGTGTAAGTGAAACATCACAGCGTCTTTCGATTCTTCGTGACTAATTGAAAATTGTAGATGGGAGGATCTCGAGGAGAAGCCTGTCGAGGGGCAATGGACATATTTCATGCGCGATAGTGGTACCCCAACTACCCAACAACCACCTCAAAAGTAATGCTCTACCTAAAGGTTCGGAACCAAAGAATGTATAGTAGAGTCTGTACATAGAATAAATACATGCAATGAAGATCGTCCAATAGAACTTTACCCTTTTGTAATGACGAAACCATAACCACATCTGCAAGTGCAGGCACGTATTCAACCATTGGTGCCCTAGCTTCTCAATTTTACATGGACATAGCATGCAGCACTACATTCTCAAATTTACGAGCATTCAGTCATCTCATCGATGCCCATTCAAACACTCGACGATGAACTACTTCCACCACTCCGTTTCTTCACCTGTATCCCCGGCTTCACACCAACAATGGTTCCCAAGGCTCTCACCCACCCCAACTCCTCATTAGGCTTTGCTGCTCCCCCAATTCTGCCACCGCCGCTTGTTCCGTGTCCATGTCTGTCGCTCATACCCGTTTGTCTTCTATGAACTTTTAGTGGCTGTTCTTCTGTTATGACGACAGTATCAGATCCTCGTCTTCCAGATGCCGGTGGCGGTGGAGGAGGCCCAAGTCGTATCGGTACCGACTTCTGTTTATTGCGGGATTTCGAGTGACGTGCTGCCATCCAGCCCATAGTTTCAGTCTGCGTAGATTTCTTCATTCTCGGAGTAGGTCCACTCATCAAGCCACCAGGCTGGGTTGCTGTAAATCCAGGTGGTGGAGGAGGTGGTGAAAAGTTGCCGGGATGTCCTGGCCTAGGAAGCATAGACGCGGGTGCTTGCCTTCGCGGCTCCGGCATTGGCCACATGTGCATGGTTATCAACCAGCCAGGCTCAATAACTGATTCCCATACTTGAGGGAGGATAATTTCGCCGGTGGGGCCAAGGAGATCGTAGTGACCATCATTGACGTGAGGACCAATGATATCGACATGAAGGAAGGCTTGTTTCACTAAGCCTTCCATTCCCTAAGATGGTAGTAGTCAGCGAGGAATCATGCAAGTGTCAAGAAACAATGAGGATTAATTGGAAAAAAAAAAGGAAGGAAAAAAAGGCATACAGCCCATGTGGACACTAAATGAAACGGAAACGTGAATTTCCTTCCCACAGCATCCTTGAACTTTATCGCTGGTTTTACTCCCTTGTCATCGGATACCACGGGGGAGTAAGCTCGATCTTTCTTCCCTTGGCAGCTTTACTTTCTGCAGCTTTTTTCTTGTATTCCTCTTCGGCTATTTTTCTCGCATACTCCTCTTCCGCTCGCCTCTTTGCATATTCTTCCTCTGCTCGCCTCTTTGCATGTTTCTCTTCCATCTCCGCCATCCTCTTATGACGTTCTTTTTGCCTCAACTTCTCAAGGTATTCGAGTTTCTCTCTCTCTAGTTTCGTTCTAATGTGTTCCTCCTCTGATAGTTCTTCTGGTGATGGGTGACAATGGTATCTCAGTAGGATCAGTGTTTGGAGTTGGCCGCCTTGGGTAATCATAATAAGCCCTATGATAGGACCGTCGTATTGTAGATCGTCTTCGTGGTCTTCCTCGGTCTTCCGAAACATCATCATCATTCTTTACGATATCATCTGTCGCACGTTTTCTTTCCTGCTCTTCGACAAGCTTTTCAGTCGTTCTGTCGATTCCATGTTTTCTCTCCTCAGACGTTACAGAATGCTCGGACCGGCGCCGGCGACGTAAAATGATCTCTCCCTCGATAATGCGCTCGAAACCATCTCCACTGCTTGGATATTCTCTGCTTCTCCTTCTGGTCAGTTGCCAGTCATCATTTTCTCTCATGCGTCTTTCTAAAGAATGACGTTCACGATCCGTGGCATAATCCGAGTCTGCATGACCTGGAGATACAGATCGTTCAGGGCGTATCCCCTCAGAACTGTCTTGCTCCCGCCAGTCATCCGAATCTGAATCCAATGGAGGTAGTGGTATCTCTGCAGGGTCTGGTGTAGATGGAGGATTGGCTGGATGCGAATGGTCTGGGCTATCGAAGTCATCATTCAGACTTATCGTCTTGCGCTTGCCCTTCTTGCCTTTTTGGCTTTCTTTGAAGGAGTTCCCCAAGATCCCCAGCTTGGCTCAGAGACTACTGGCTCAGGGACTATTGGTTCAGGGATAATTTGGTCAAGATCGGGCGACGGAAGGCTAATTGGGGGTGTTTCTGGCGGTGCTGGTCCGGCGGTTGGAGAGTGATCGGAAGAAAGAGATCCTGGAGGATTATTTCCAACAGGCATGGGTCTCACCGGTGTAATTTTTGGTGAAGATAGAATAGGATGAAATTTGGATGGCGGAGAAGGTGAAAGGGGCGCAGAAGGTGAAGATACATTGTGATCCGAATGTGTAGGAGAAGACAGGACGTTCTCCGGATCTGAATTTCGATCCAGAGGTTTCCGTCTCCAAAATCGCCAACTCCTCAATCTTGGCACCCTTTTCTTTTTCTTGCGAACTAATAAATCTCCATCTATGGACAGACCTGGAGGCAGCCGAGCACTACTTATAGAGGATGAACCATCATCGCTATCGCTGTCGCTATCTGTATAGCCAACACTGGAGGAAGAACCAGCTCTGCGTGGATTCCAAATATCAGGAATACGCGATCTAAGACGTTCTTTGATGCCTGCTTTGTATGAAATGATCTCACTGCCAGAAATTGATGAGGTAACCATATCATCAGCTTCTACCGTCACTGCAGCATACCCGTACTGTTGAGCGAATTGCTCCAAGGTCATTCGCCGAATACTATCCGCATATATTAAAACTGTTGTAAGCATACATACTGGAATAGCAATGACCCAAAATATGAAGAACTGATCTCCACCCGGCTGAAAATTCCCACCCATCGAAAATATTGCCGCAATTATGGAGAACGGGAGCAACACACCGCCAAGATAGGTCACTCTGTTGATGCTTTGGCGGGTTTCCAGATCTAAGGCTTCTCCTCCACGAATATGCACTCCCGACTTAGAAGAAGCCGTGGAAGTGGTATCGTCGTCATCCTCATTGTTGCTCCCACTTTCAGTTTTGGCCTTCGTCTCAAGACCCTCCTCCAAAATTTGTCCCCATACAAGTAATTCTGCATAACGATTTGCTTTCTCCAAAAGTCTTTTGAATCCTTCCATCCTAACGACATAACGAGGGCTCCGGGAAGCCTCAGTACGATCCAAAGTCCAAATATTAGACTCTATTAGATCACATACTTGATGTACTCCGTGATAAGGAATCGATCTAGATGCACATGCATGTTCAATTACTTCGCCCAAGGCAAATTTCCATTGTCCGAGTACGGTATCAGCAAGTATCTCTGTGAGGTTATCCCAAATCAGGATGCTACCTGGAGATTCTATAGAATTGAAAATCTCGTCTGCTAGAGTCAAAGCTGGATCATGTTTTCGAGATGGTTTCCATTTTTGCGTTCCTTCTGGAAGACTCTTGAGGGCATTTGCAAGAATACTATGGTAACCCGCAGTTTGAAACTGTGCGCCTCTTCTCGCCCACGACTGATTTTCTAGAAGCAATAATACTTTATATAGCCACTATTAGTATATCTTCGAATAGAAGGAACGCTCAATCTTACAAGTTTCAGTTCCATCTTCTTCAGCAAAGCACGCTAAAGTCACGTGACATAATCTCACACTTATTCCATTCCACCCTTCATCGGAGATCTCTATCGTTTGACACGGCAGCATGAAATCACCAACAACTCCATCATTGGCTTCTGGTGGCGGAGTAATGTTTACCGTAATTTCAGGATGGTCCAGAGCAAAAGTTCAAACTTTCTTCTCATTCCCTGGTTTCGTTGAAAATTTCAGCTTATTCAATTGCACACTCTTTCTCATCGCATGCGAATCAAAAATATCCACATCTATGTTGAAGTGCAGCCCAAACACCTGTACAAATTCAATCGGTAGCCCTTCCAAAACATACAATTTCCTCTCCTTGCGACGCGGTATGGCGCGCTTCAAGTGATTTGCGAGCTCATCTGGGCTCGTAAAGAACTTTCTCGTGAGGCTACCATTTTTATCTTCGGTGAAGCACGATGTGGGTGGTAATTCGACGTTGAAGCGTGGGGGGTTAGGAAGAAACTTGGGATCTGGGGGGCTATCGCCTTCAATCTCGACGGCAATGCGAGCCATTTTGAATGTGGCATTTATCTAATTACTTACGATGCTCATTATGTGGGCTTCTTCACTTCTTATTGATTCTTGCGGTTAAAGGTTGTGCCTGGTAAGAGCAATTGCGCCCCCAAAAAGCCCTGACAACATGGACAGGGGGTTGTGCATTAGCGATGTGCAGCCACCGATATATTTCTCGTTCTACGGAGAAGAGAGAAAGTTTATAACATTCAATCTAGATCAAAAGATACGAGTGCTAAATAATTGCTGTTTAGATAGGAATTCGAGTAATTTTTCGTTATTGAATAAAATGAGAAGAAAATTCTGTATATGTCAAGACTTTTGAATATTGAACTTGGGTGACGAGGGTCCACTTCCGAGTCCAGTATGAACACAGTCCGTAACATCACGAAATTGAGGGAAGCTTTTGCGAGAGAAAAACCATCAAGATGACGGGGTAATAACTTGTTACAGTGCATAAAATAGCTAACGTTTGGCTATGGAATTAGATTTGTGACTCCTTGACATCTTGCTTTACCTCTGGAATTGGATTCAACATCGTCAGTTCATGTTGACGTACATAAAGATCTCGATAGGTCTGTATCATAAATTCGTATACCGCTCAGGAATGCATCGCCAGAAGCCAGTCATAAATCACAGGAATCATCCTTGAAATCTAATACATTTTTGTTATGTGAAGTCATCTAATTGGCCCTAAACTGGGGGCATAGAGGTATCTGGGTTGCGCTTTGGGATTGTTCCACAGTACCATTGAACCCCATCATGGCCCGTACGTGGATGTGTGTTGGATCTCATGAGCTTGCATGGCTGCTGTCGATGTTCAATCTCACATACCAACACTTTTAGAATTCTAGCAGCTTTTTCATCATTATTAAAGAGCCTTGTTTGCCCTCTTCAGTTATGGACCCTTCATCTCCAGTCAAGATTCTTATATAAATCCACGCAAATATTTCAATCCCTGTTCTTATTTCCAATATGGGTACGCTAAAAGCATGTCACATTCTTTCAAAGCCTGTAAAAGATATCATTTTGACCTGAAAAAATCGTCACGGCAAATTGTATAGCCTTTTACCGTCAACGTGATTAAACCACGTAGTAGTCACTTCAGTCATAGAAAGATTTCATAGGCCACTTAGGCTGGGTTAGGGTGCTGGTATGCTCATATTCAAACATCAGAAATGTATATGTCATCGAAAATAGTTAAGAAAACTTTGCAAAAGATCCTAATTTTATAGATGAATCGCCAGCAAAGTCTAAAAGACAAAGGTGATCGACAAGATTCTTCAATATGATTGGTGGGAATTGATCATTTATTACTAGTGTGAAATATGAATGATTCACTGCAATTTCTAAAATTAGCGCCTTTTTAGTTGGCGAGATTACATTCAAATTGAAACTCAAACCCGCTCAAATTCACACGATTGATCAAAATTTGGGAAACGAGGGGCCCATTCCCTATCAAGTCACTATGGAGTTATTTTAATTGTAAGCATAGAGATATAATCTGAATATCGCAATACAAACGAAAGAATATGAGTCCCACTGAATGCACTCCTGTCATATTGGTCCTACCATTTATTAGTGTTTACTAGGCCCAAAATAAGCGAGACTAAGGAGAAGCTAAAGCGCAGACGACATGTGGTTCAAAATAGAATCTATCTACAAAAATGGTTATGATGCCTCGATAATCGTCGAGTGTTAATTTATATTGCAAAATTGGTCAGAATTCACACACAAGTGACGGATTTCCATCTGAATGACGTATAATGCCTTAAATATTTATTGGCTTCTCGAATTGTGAGAGCTCTTAGTATCTCTTGGCTTCTTAGTATCGAAAGTAAGAGCAGAGATTTCAATATTCGTGACTTAATTCGTGACTTGATTCGTGACTTATCCAAAACTAGATCAAACCGTTTGAAGCCGCGTTACCACTTTCAGATTTCCTAAACCCGATTCTGACAACCATTCGCTCATCATGAGCACTCATATCTATTGTGGGTTGTGTAAGAGGAATCTGGCATGTTCTAATATGAACTAAGAGCTCGAAAGAGTTTGCGGGGGTGGAGAAAATTTCGTAGACTACCTGGACTAGTCAGTCTGTTGGAAATCTGGAGTCTACTTAAGAAATCCTTCAGCCAACTTCTACATCGAAACACGACCACATATACATCCTACATCGTACACCATAACTCAGATAATTGCCTTATACTTGTCAGATTTCTCAATCAATTATCCCTTCAAGAATACCTCATACACAATCATATTCCATTGTTGTACATACCACAATATCGCCACCAGTCAGAACTAAGTTCTTTTCTCAACTCAACGTAGTTGTGATATTCACAATCATCATTACCAATTCAAACATCTTTTTTAATATCACGACACTTACATTATATCCGCCCTACCACTATCGTTATCAGCAATCATTTCACAATCACATACAAATGTGTTACATCTAATATATCACAATTACCATTGCCAATATCAAAATATCGCCTTACACTTAACGAGATTTCGCAACCATCTCGAATCTACGCCTTCACCGCCACAACTTCGAATAAATCCAACAAAACTACAAATCAAGTCATCACAAACCTCGACTTCGTTTCGACATAAAATTCTTCAATTGAAAGCAAAAAGTCACTTACTCCAAACCCCACATCTTATTTCGCAATGTCCGCTTCAATTCTATCGCCTAGACAATCGAGCCGATTGACTTCCCCGCGTGGAGTTTTTCGCTTCCGCGATCTTCCTGGCGAAATCCGCAATAAAATTTACGAGATGGTAACTTGTGACATCGAAGATCCCGAGCCACTTAATGATTTAGACACAATATCTCTCCCTGTGTTTAAGAAGAATTTAAACCCCAATCTATTGCTAACTTGTCGTCAAATCCACGACGAAGCAAAATACATTATGATGACCAAGAATCTTTTTGTGGAAGTCCAAATATCGGGGGTAGGAAGAAGAATGAATAACAATTTCGAGTCTATGCTTCGTTTATACAGAGTCCCAGTTGTCTATATCAAGAGAGATATAGATCCTGAGAGACTTCCTTTCGATGGCTGTGTCGTAAGATATCGCATATCTTGTGATGAACGAAGCAGTGTATGGGAACGAGACTCGATTGATTCTTTGGTCATATTGCATCGTCACATGAATCAATTTCTCGAAGCTGTCCACCAGACTCAATGGTTTATCTCAACATGCACAAAGATACGTTCGTATCATGTCATCACACTTCAAAACCCTTTTGTCACCAGGTCCGCACACTTTGGTGACAGTCGCAGTCAATTTTCTATTGAGGCCTTACAGAACAAAGAAGAAGCACTTCTATCTCCATTCTCCACTATCAAAGAAGGCCCAACATATATATCCAAGGACTGGTCTGGATCTTATTTAAGATTAAATTACAACAATACGAGACGTCTCGCCGTGTCCTCCATCACCAATGAAAGCGTGTTGGAAGACTTAGAAGAAATAATAAGAAAGGGACGAGACCATCACCTTCGAGGTATATACTTGTATGCCGAAGCATTCTACAAGGTTGCCGACTACAAAATTTCAGTTCTGATGAACTTCTTTCGCAACACGACAGTCACCAGACTTTTTGAAAGGGTAGGACTAGAGCCTGAGGATCAAGTAATCGAAGGAGAAATATTTGAGGATCAACTAGCCGAGATATACTCCACAATATGCTACCATCGTGCACAAAATGCTCTTGCGGATATGCATCATCTTATAGATAATGGCTTGGGTCAACATTCACGCGATGCGTGTGATATTATTCACAAGATGGCATCACAAGGTCGAGCTCCTTTAGCATTCCTTCGTTCCATACCAAATCCAGAGCGAATTGCAGATCACATATTCATGGAAGCCGTTTCATTCAGGCTATGGGAAGAAGTACGCAAGGGAGACCGATGGAGCATTGATAAGGCTTTGGAGAAGGTAGAATTAGGTCTCGAAATGGCTCCTAATCACCCTGGGTTGAAAGCCGAGAAATATCGTATCGTTCGTCGAAGAGTGGCATTGGTCCTAGATTTTTCTATCGTTTTGAACGTGGTCCATCCTATTGTTCGCCGATAGCTCCTAGTTCTACTATGAGTAGTGTTATTCAACTTACTCCTTAGATTGTTAAGAGAGATGAAGGATTTTCTTTTGGGTCTCGGTTGTAGCATCTAAATGATTCAGCGTTGCAGATGGATGGATATTTTTTCTTCAGTTACAGAATTTGTATTATCGTGTACTCAAGCCGCTACGATAGATGGTCCTGAATGAGCAAGGACCTTCTTAGCTGATTATATTGTATTACCTATGGATGGGTATACCCTTTTTCAGTTACAGCGTTTGAATTATTTTGTACTTAATCCGCTACAACAGGTGGTCCTTAACGAGCGTGGGGCCTCTAAGCTGATTATTGTTTGTTTGTTTCTCGGAGTACAATAGAATAAGAAAAGCATTTTCGCAGACTTTGTGTAATGACCACTATTGAAACAAGTGACCTTCTTCAATGATTCAACCACATTTGATACGAATTTTATTACACTCTGATCTAGCTCAGTGCTGCATTCCAACTGCATCAATACATAATTATACAAAAGATCATAACGGCTGAACTTTACAAGCACAGAATCCTCGACACAGATTGAGATTATAGTTCGAAAAACTACCATCTACCAATTCCTTATTTCTCACCCCGACGATAATGATACCATACCGACATGAATCTGTGTTCTGATACAGAAAACAAACCATCCCATCCTTCAACATCTCTGAAACGCAAGAAATTGTACCATGCATGCATCGATATTGACATTAGGTATCGACATTAAGATGTATAGAAAATGCACATTTACAAAATATCAACATATATATGAATCAATAACGTCATTATATACACCATCAGCCGATTACCCCGCCCCCTCTCTTTCACCGAACGGTCATGTGTGGAAACTGGGAACGATGACTAGAAACTGCACAACTGTATACAAGAA